TCCTTTAGGATGGACTGGTTGGATCTTCTTGCAGTCCAAGGGACTCTCAAGTGTCCTCTCCAACACCACAGTTCAAAAGCATCAATTCTTCAGCACTCAGCTTTCTTCACTGTCCACCTCTCACATCCATACATGACTACTGGAAAAACCATAGCCTTGATGAGATGGACCTTTGTTGGCAAAGTAATGTCTCTGCTTTTAAATATGCTGTCTATCTGCGGGAGAAGGCGAGGGTGGGATGTTTCAAGAGAACAGCATCGAAACATGTATATTATCTAGGGTGAAACAGATCACCAGCCCAGGTTGGGTGCATGAGACAAGTGCTCGGGCCTGGTGCACTGGGAAGACCCAGAGGGATCAAGTGGAGAGGAAGGTGGGAGGGGGGACCGGGATGGGGAATACATGTAAATCCATGGCTAATTCATTTCAATGTATGACAAAAACTACTGTAATGATGTAAAGTAATTAACCTCCAACTAATAAAAATAAATTGAAAAAAAAAATGAAAAAAAAAAAATAGACTGTATTATATCATACCTGTTGTCTGCACCCTGTCTTTTCACTTAAAAGTACATCCTGGAGATTTTGCTATTTCAGTATATAAAGTACTTTATCATTCTTTGTAATAGTTATTGTAGTATGACATAGCATAGATATACTATAAACTCTACCAACAGACATTTCAATTGCTTCCAGTATTTTGCTGTTATAAACAATACAATTTTTAGTTATAAAAATAGTATTATTTATCGTTATAAACAATACTACAACTGAAAAGCTATGCATATGTCATTTTACATGTATGCAGGTATGATAAATTCCCAGAAGAGGAACTCTGACCTAAAGGTATGTGCACCTGAAATATGCTCAAACTGTCCTTCACATGGATTGTACCAATCCATACTCCCATCAACGAAGTATGAGAATACCTGTTTTTCCATACCTTACCACGAGAATGTATTATCACTTGGATTTTCACCAATCTGGTAGGTAAAGTATCTCAGTGACGTTTCAATTGGCAGTTTTTAAATTATGACTGTGGTATAGTATCCTTCAGACAACTTAAGAGCCATTTGTATTTCCTCTTCTCTAAAATATCCTCATTCTTTTTCCCATTTTTCAACTGGGAGGATGACCTTTTTCTCTTTGACTTCAGAAGCTCATGAAATATTAAAAGACTAGGTCTTTTTCTATTAAAAATTACAAATATTTTCCCCTATGAAAACTGTTTTCCTTTTTGCTTTGCTTTTGTTTGTTGGGATATTTTTGTTTCTATTTATTGCGTGCAATTTTTATTGTCAAATCTATAATTTTTATAGCTTGGGGATTTTGAGTTATGGTTAGAAAGGCTCTCCATTTCAAAGCTATAAAGGAATTTTCCTATGTTTTCTAATAGTACATTTCTTATATTAAATATTACAGTCATTTGAAATTTATCCTGGTGTCTGGTATTTTACCTAGCTGTATACTCTATAATATGTAACCTTAAATTATCCCAACTCCAAAGTGAAACAAAACTTTTACTGTTCTTATGTTGCATATACTGGTTATTACTTCCTCTTATTTCCATTCTAGTCAATTTCTACAATCTGTGGTCTATCCATTTAAATGGCAATCGGGGGAAAAGCTGTTTCCTTGTCCTTGTGGTTTGGGTTTGGTGTTGGGGGTTGCAGGTGGGTGATGCTTAGTGTCTCTCTGGAAACAAAGCTCTTCCAGTTTATGCTTTCAGATATTCTTCTGATTAGGAGGAGTTAGAGCCCATGACCTGTCATATAAAAGACTGAGGAACTGAAGACATAAACTGCAACATTTTAAAACTCTCCCAATACTGTACCCATATCTATGTTTCTACCAATGTATTTCTAAAGATTTCACCTTCATTACAGAACAGGCTAAACTCTTTTCAAGATCACATACCATGCTAGAGCATAAGCTAAGTATGACCTTTGTGTGAAGGTCCACTTATAGTTTGTTTATTTTCTCCAAATGACTATCTACTTACTCCAACATCTCTAATTACTAAGCATAAAAATCAGTAAGAATGTAGAATCTCCATTGCATGTACAAGGGAATTCCCGTAAAACTATCAGTTGCCTTTTTCACAGAAATTCTGCAAACCAGAAGGGAGTGGCACCATATAGTCAAAGTGATGAAAGAAAAAAAAACCTATAAGCAAGAATACTCTACTCAGCAAGGATATCATTCAGATTTGAAGGAGAGATACAAAATTTTACAGACAAGCAAAAGCTAAAAGAGTTTAGAACCAGTAGACCAGCTTTATAAAAAATGTTAAGGAAGCTTCTCTAAGTGGAAAAGAGACCACCACTAGAAATATGAAAATTATGAAAGGAAGAATCTCACTGGTAAAGGCAAATATACAGTAGAGGTAGTAAATCATCCACTCATAAAGCTAACAGAAGGTTAAAAGACAAAAGGAGTAAAATCACCTATATCCATAATAAGTGTCCAAGGAACACACAAAACAAAAAGATATAAAATATGAAATCAAAAACAGTAAATATGGGTGGTGGGAAGCAAAAGTGCATGGTTGTTACAAACTGTTAGAACTTAAAACATCATCAACTTAAAATAATCACATATCAGTATGATAATCAAATTGTTGACTTCCCTGGTGGCTCAGGCAGTAAAAGTGTCTGCCTGCAATGCAGGAGACTGGGGTTCTATCCCTGGGTCGGGAAGATCCCCTAGAGAAGGAAATGGCAACCCACTCCAGTACTCTTGCCTGGAAAAATACCATGCATGGAGGAGCCTGGTGGGCTACAGTCTATGGGGTCACGAAGAGTCAGACACGACTGAGCGACTATACTTTCAGATGGTAATAATAAAACAAATATCTGTAACAGTACACAAAAGAAGGGAAAGAAACCCATACATAACACTAAAGACAATCATCAAATCACAAAGGAAGAGTGCAAAAGAAGAAGAAAACAAAGAACTGCAAAACAGTTAAGAAAATCACAATAAGACATATCTAACAATAATTACTTTCAATGTAAATCGACTGAAAGCTCCAGTCAAAAGACACAGAGTAGCTGAATGGACACAAAAACAAGACCTGTATATGCCACCTACCAAGACTCACTTCAGAGCTAAAGACATAGACTGCAAGAGAAAGTATGGGGAAAAGTATTACATGCAAGTGGAAATCACAAGAAAGCTGGGGTAGTAATACTTATATCAGGCAAGACAGACTTTAAAACAAAAACTGTAACAAGAGACAAAAAAGGACTTACATAATGATAAGGGGATCAATCAAAGAAGAAGATATGACAATTGTAAATATATAAAAACACAACATAGGAGCACCTAAATGCATAAAGCAAATATTAACAGACATAAAGAGAGAAACTGACATAGTAGGAGACCTTAACACCCCACTTAGATCAGGGGAGAGATAGAAAATCAGTAAGAAAACACTGGTCTTAAATGACACTGAACCATATGGACTTAATAGATTATACATTGACCATTCCATCCAAAAGCAGCAAGATACACATTCTTTTCAACTGCACATGAGAACAGTCTCCAGGATAGATCACATAACAAGCCACAAAACAAGTCTCAATGAATTTGAGAATATTGAAATCATATCAAGTATCTTTTCTGATCACAATGGCATAAGACTAGAAATCAATTACAAGAATGCATAAAAAACAAAAATAATATGCTACTAGACAATCAATGGGTCACTGACAAAATCCAAGAGGAAATAAAAAAACACCTGAAGACAAATGAATATGAAAACACAATGACACTAAATCTATGGGACACAGCAAAAGCTGTTCTATGAGGGAAGTTTACAGCAATACAGACTTAGCAAACAAGAAAGATCTCAAATAAACAATCTAACAGTAACAATCATGTTGGATATAGCAAGAAAATCTATCTTAAGTTTGTTTGGAGTACAGAAGGAAAAGAGACAGAAATATGGTAAAGAAAATGTTAGAAAAGATAATGGCTGAGAATTGTGCAGAACTCAAGGAAGCTAATAATTCATAGAATCAAGACAGCAAGCAAATCCCAAGTGAAAGAAATAAGAATAAATTCTTCATATGGATATATCATAAACTGTAGAAAACCAAATATAAGGAGAAAAATCATAAGAGCAACCAGAGGGAAAAGAAAAACCCTTTTAAAGAACAACAGCAAAACTGACATCTAACTACTCAATAATGACAATGGAAACAAAAAGATGAGAGAATATAACATACAGAGAGAAAATAACTATTTACCTAGAATTCTACTACCACTAAAATCTTTCTCAGGAAAGATGACTATTAAAATAGTTCAAATTCAAAACCTAACTGTTAACAAAATAGTACATTATCCTCTTAATATCTGTCTTTAATTCTACTCCTTACCTTTAATATATATATCTTGCTTTGAACAGAATTAAATCTCTTAAGATAATGAAAGAAAAGGTCATGTGAAATTAGATATATGGATAATCATAGAATTCTCGGGGCTCATTTAGATTCTACTTTCTTTAACCATAAAATAGGTTTTAAACAACATGATTTTTTTAAGTTTGTTTTTAGTTCTGAGTGATTCTGTACCTAGCTAACCACATGGCTACTGCACTATTGCAGTAAAAATTTCATCTCATTAAATCAATAGTACAAGTTACTTAAAAAGTAAGTGCTCTATCAGAGTTGCAAGTGATAGGCTGTATTTATATAATCAGTTTTAAAATATAGAGGAGAAAAGATTCACAAGACATAGAAGTGAGTTCTTTTCTTTCTCATAAAAATGTGGTATTAGAAAAAGCAACTTAATTAGGTAAATTAAAACATTCTATTAATGAACCTGGAAAATTCTGACAGTACAATGACTCATGCAAGCATTGCTAGTGAGAAGCAAGTAACCTTTGTCCTACATGCAAACAGAGAAACTTTGTACCTTTCACTAACCAGATACAGAAAGCAGCTTCTGTCTGAATCAGAGAATAACAGTATTAAAGATCAAAAGTATATGCTCACCTTGTAAAAACTCCTCCTTGCAAGCAATGAAGCAGAAGAAAACAATGATGACTTTCTTGGCCTGCTTCCTTTAAATCAGCCTTGAACCAAGAATAACTAAAACACTGGACCACAAGTGTTCCAAAGAGCATAAAGCTTACTGTTAAAACACCAAAAACATACTGTCTTTCATGAAAAAATCTGACAGACACCCAGATGTCCACAATTAAATCAGTTACATAGATCATAATGCCAAGGACTGACATCATAAAATTCAACTTAGTATATTTCATTATGAGTTACTATATCTCTTGGTTATTTACCTCCTCCTCTCATACAAAAAGAAAAAAACAAATATTAGTGCATTCTGTGGTGTAGCACTGAATTGTAATTTCCACTCCCTAAATATTTAAAAAAATAAACTAAATAAATAAACTAAAACCAAAGTGACTAATTTTAACTTTCTTTTCTAAATCTCTAGTCCAGTTGTTACTAGGCTTTATTCAATCTTGTTTCACAGTGATCTTCATTACAGATGACAACACCTAAAATAAAACATAAAAATTTCCAAAAATCTTGATTCTAACATTAAAAATCTTAGGCCATGACTTTATCAAAGCACTACTTTTTCTAAAAATAATATATTACCACTAAATACATTTCTTACAATATACAGCTTTGGGAAAGTAAAGTGTTAGAAATATACTTAATAGTTGACAACTTCCTCTCAGACTATTTGCTTTTTAAAAAACATAACCTACTCACAAATATATTTACTAAAGGACTATATACAGTGGCAAAAAATTGGAAATAAATGTGTCAACAAAAAGAATTAAATAATGGTAGATTAATAAAGTGGAATATTACAAAGCTACTAAAAATATATTTAACAAAGGTCCAGCAGTTGTGAAAATTCTTAATGTGCTTTGATACAGCAATTAAATCTAAGAATCAAGCCTAGGGAAATATTTACAAACATGCACAAAGGTATATGCTCTTTGCAGAAACTTTTTTAAAACAGCAAAAATTGAAAACAACCCAAATGACAATTGAGAAGTCTAATTCAATAAATTATGGTACATTCACACTAAAGAATATACCATGCAACCTTTAAAAAGAATGAAGTAGCTTCATATAAACTGATTTCAGAAAGTCTCCAAGATATATTAAATGAAAAAAGCAAGTACCAGAAGAATAAATATAACATGTTGCAGTATATGCTTTTTTATTATACATGGAGAGGGAAAAGGAGTTGAGTGAGAAGCAAATGCAATTTCAATCTTTTAAATATTTTTTTCATATTGAGTTTTCTACAACAGATATGCACTAATGTGTTTTATAATTTCTTAAAAACAGTAGTAAATGATACTTATAAAGAATTTTGATGACTGGGGAGAACACTTATTCTATTAATAAGTTACTACATGCCAGGCACTGACCTATATGTTGCAAATAAAATGTCCTCATATAATTCTTACATCAAACTTCAAAGGTAGATATTACTATTATGAAGCCTATTTTATAAATATGAATGCAATCTGCAGATGACATCTATTCAACTCAACAGGGATTTCTTTAATTGTACTAATGAACTGCCAAGATTTCATATAAAAATCCAGAGTTTTCACTGCTATCAAAGAATTCAAAGATCTGCTACAGTAGACTATCATTTCTTCATAAGCAGTGGGTACCCACCCTAGATGCCAAAGGCTCTCTCAGGTTCACCACAGCAGCCAGTCACCCCACTTCAGTCATTTCAACAGTGAGGTCTCAGTGCCCATGCAGCTATCTAATAGCTGTGTATCCTTAAATATGTTCTTTTTACCTCCCTATCCCTTATTTTCTTCATCTGAAATATGGAGATAATAATGGTATATATTTCAGAGGGTTGTTGTTAAGGTTAAGAAAGGTAATATATATAATACATACAAGCCTCTAGAAAACTACATGGTACAGTAAGGGCTTAAAAACTGTTAGTTACCATTATTACTTTGCCTGTCTGCCTGATACCTGTAAGCATCTAAGTTTGCAGTCTTTGACTTCACTTTAAAGAATGTTAAGTGGAAAAAATACTGTTATAATCTCAAAGCTTTGAAAATGTAAAGGAAATAGGACTGGAGAAATAGCAAAAAACGTTAACAGTAGTTTTATCTAGGGGAATTAATGGTATTATAGATGATTTTTTTCCTTCATCCTTTTCTATATTTATGAGTACGAACCTCAAAATTCATACATTGACATACTAACCCTCAAAGTGACTGCTCCTAGAGACAGGCCTTTATGGAGGTAATAAGGTTAAAAGAAGTCACAAGGACGGGTCCCTAACCCAATAGGAGTGGTGTCCTTATGAGAAAGGACACAGCAAGAAAGAGCCATCTGCAACCCAAAGAAAGAGGCCTCAACAGAAACCAACCCTGCTGGCACCTCAGTGTTGGACTTCCAGTCTCCAGACTGTGGGAAAAATTATTTTCTATTGTTTAATCCACCAATCTGTTGGATTCTGTTAAGGCAGCCTGAGTAGACTAACACCCTATGTATTCTATAAAGAATATTTATTACTTTAAAAATTAGGAGGGGAATATGTTACTTTAAAAAAAATCTAATACTTAGCAGTGTTCCTGTCATTTCAGCACTTGTATTTTCTTTAAAAGTTTTCAGAATAATATTAAAAGACAGTTCACTCTTCTTACAGTTAAAAAAAATGCTCATTATTGCTACTTTTCCTACCAAGAATGTTGTGGCCAACAGGAGGAAAAAAAAATTTTTTTAAGTCTGAGTTTTTCCAATCTAATAGGGCATGAATTTCCCTGCAGTGAGTTTCTTATCTTAAATTAAAGACGTCATGTCAGTTTAAGCATGGAGTTTAGCAGGATGAGATTTCATCAAAAAGTTCTGTTTAATTAAATATTTAATTAAACCTACAATGTGATATTTTAAGCTCTTGAGATATACCATGTGTAAAAGAAACAATCCCTGCCATTGTGGAACTTACATCCTAGCACAGAAAGATAATCAAATAACAATAAAAATAAGTAAAATTAGACATCATATTAGAAGGTGGTAAGTGATACAGAAAAAACAGAGCATGTTAAGGGAAATCAGGAGTTGGGAGTAGAGGCAGGTGCATCACAGGTTGTAATTTTAATTAGAATGGTCAGAGCAGGCCTCACTGAAAAGATAGCATCTGAGTAAAGAAATTAGCCATATTGCTATCATATGAAAAAGCTTGCCAGGTGGAAGGAACAGCGAGTTCAGAAGTCTAACGTACTAGATTTTGAGTATGTGGAACAAAATTCCCCAAAATGTTGTCGGATTTCTTAACAAGATTATATTGGATGTCTTTAATGTGTATCCAAGTCCTGTTTAACAGCATCTAAAAAAATTGCAATTTCCTAAGCTTTCTATTGAGGAAAAAAATATTTCCACATATAGCAGAAGAATAGATGGTAAGAATAGTAGCTACCACTGCTGAGTATTTACTATGTGTGAAATGTTTTACAAACTTTAATTCTCACAAATTCCTGTAAGAAGATTATCATTGGCCCCATTTTATAGATCATAAACTGAGGCTTAGAGATGTTGGTATTTGCGTGAGTTATCTATAATGAGTAAACTGATTTTAATGTACAGGCATGCCTTGGAGACACTATTGAGTTCAGTTCCAGGCTGCCACAATATAGCAAAAATCACAATGAAGTGAGTCACACAGTTTTTGGTTTCCCTGTGCATGTAAAAGTTATGTTTAAGCTATACTGTAGTCTATTAAGTGTGCAATTATGTCTAAAAACTGTATGTACTTAAATTTTAAAATTCTTCATTGCTAAAAAACTTCTATGATCTCAGCCTTCAACGAGACAAAATCCTTTTGCAGTTGTAAAAGATCACTCATCACCATAACAAACATAACAATAATAATAAAAAAAAAAGTTTGAAGCACTGTGAGAATTACCAAAATCGAACACAGTAACACAAAGAGATCAAATGCTGTTGGGAAAATGGCACTGGTAGACTTGCTCCATGCAGGTTGCCAAAACATTCAATTTATAAAAACCACAATATCTGAGAAGTGCAATAAAGTGAAGTGCAATAAAATGAGGTAGACCTCCTTGTGCACAATTCTTAATCACTCTCCCCACAAATATAGCTTCCTTTACCTGGCATGGAAATGGAAAACTCTAGCCATTTTGAACCAAGATTTACAAGATGGGAAAAAATAATTTCTAAGAAACTTAGAAATTGCATTATTGGCAGAACATCAGACTCAATAAACTAATCTGATCTGGCAACTTTTAAATTCCCAATTTAGTGAAGCAGAACATAACGCCAACTGGAAAGAAAACTACACAGCAAAGTACTTAATAAATATAGCAGCTCTCATAAAAAAGGGCCTGCACTTCCTTCAACAACCACTTGGTCGGATAACTTGTATGAAGGATGTTCATCTTTACCCCTACAACTGATCACTGTTCCAATACCACCTTATCAGAAATAATGCCAATCTACGAAATTTCACTTCACTTAGAGAATTCAGAACACTGACTGACTTAATGGGCGTTTCAATCCAGTTTCTCATTCAGAGGTCAACCCACCTGTGTGACTATCTGGCTGCCAGCCAAAATATATAAACTTTGCCCACTGTACAGCTCTCTTCCTCTCTTTGCAATAAAGAAGATACCTGAAGAAGTACAAACTAGCAAATGTTCACTTGTCAATTAAATTTAATACACATAATATATAGACTTACTTGTCATATATAAAAAGCCTTCTTTAATTCAAAGTTCCTTCTGGAAAAACCTTCATCCTGGGAATTTTTTTTTTCTTCCTCATGGAAAATAAGCATTATTAAGGAGTGTGTAAACCTTTAAGATCCAAACCAAAATGAAACTGAAATCACCTGTTAGTCATAAGTGCGATATTCTAATCCAGTGATAAGAGTCTATATCATTGTGACCATAGTACATCCTTTTTTTTTTTTAACTACCACCTTGGGGGAAGGAATTACATGGCTCCTTTTACAGACTGATGAGTTTACAAGCTTTTACTATATTATCAATTAATTTTTTAAAAATACAATTTGCCTCACAGCATATCTAAGTGGACAATTCATGTTTGAAAGGGAGAGATTCTTGAATTTGAAATACTCTAATAAAGAATTTACAATGTATTATTATTGGAGCCCTACCTACCTAATTTTTCAAACTTTATACCTTCTCAAAGCCTATGCTCCAAGAACATATGATCGCTAGTTTCTATTACCAAAATAAACATTACAGTTCTTATTTCCAAGCCTTTGCTCAAGGTTATTTACTGTCCAGAAAGCCCTTCTTCCTCCAGCTACCTGATAAAAGTTATATCAATCCTTTAAGAATCAGCTTACATCCACTACTGTTAAGCTTTCTCAGATCATCCGAATTTCTCTGCTTCCTTCTTGCAATCTCATCACTTTCACTATACTTCTATAGGATTCACCTGAATATGCTCTAAAATATCATGTACATCTCCTTTTTAGTTACAAGCCTCTATAAAGCTATCCTATTCATTTTTACACACGTTCCCACACATCAACAACAATACATGTTAGAGGTAGTTGATCAATTATTGTAAATAAAACTGAACAGAATGTAAAAATCATTGGTCTTCTTTCTTGGGAACTTAAAACTTCAAGTTACACTGATATTCACAAAGACTCAGTTTTGAATCTCCAGCCTCTTTCTTCCTAGCTCAAGCCATACATCTAACTATTTGTGGATTTCTTTATGGGGATATCCCACAATGACCTCAACTTAAATGCCTCTAAACCAAGTTCATCACCTACACTGTTCTGCTCTTCTGCTAGTGTCTAACGTCTCCTTCTATGACTCGACTCAAGTCACTTACCTTTTAAATTATTTGTTGGGCCCCATTTCTTCATCTACCAAATGAAGACCCTGGCAAGGAACTAAATGAAATTGAGATGGAAGGCACAAGGAAAATTCTAATTAACGGGGGAAAGAAAAAAGAGGAATAAGAAAGTGGAACCCACGAAAATAGTTCCACTCTCTTCTCAAAGGTTTGCTGACTTTCCAGTAGAGAGGTTTTAAAATGGGAAGCCAGCTTCTTGCTGGAAGAGCTACTAATAACAGACAAATATTGTTGAGTTGAAAATACTTGATACAGGGAATTTTGATGATTACTCCAAGCAGTCTTTAAAGGACTTGTCCCATTGCAAAGGGGATAATTCACATGGTTGTTTCAATGAAGGTTTTTGAAACATTTTGCTATTAAAATTACATCTTGAAGAAACAAGGGAAGAATCTGCCACACATAATCCAGGTGTGTTTTCAAGAAATCTGAAATATTAAACTCCCGATTTGTAATATAAATACTGCATACAAAGTAAGTCCTTTCTCCAGAAACACCTGCCAAAAAGGATGTTAAAAATGCATGCCCTATAACCTAGACGGGTGGGACGGGGTAGGAGGGGCATTCAAGAGGGAGGGGGCACGTATGTACCTATGGGGCATTCATGTTAATGCATGGCAGAAACCAACATAATATTATAAAGCAGTTATCTTCCAATTAAAAATAAATAATTATCTTTAAAAATGCCTAAATTTTAGAACCACTAAGCATCTAATGTGTCAATTTATCATTTCTTTTGAAAAAGGTATGGGCTAGGATATCACATGTGTTCCACATCTTTGAGTGGTTACATACCCGTAAGGGAATGAAACTGATCATGGGATCTGTGCATTTCCTTTTAGGAAAACAGTAACTGGAATTTTTTTTTTTTTAATATGGGGAGGGTTAGTTAACACTGGGGTAGTTAACTGCTCAGCAGATTAGAAAAGGACTCCTTACAAAGAAAAAGAAGTCCTTTATGTCTTGGACACAACCTCCCACCACAAGCACAACCCCAACAAACGCGCTCGCGGCCCCCCTAGTCTTGGGGTGGGTGGGGTACCGCAAGTGGCATAAAAGGAAGCGGGGCTCCTCGAACCCGCTACAGGGGTGGCGTCGGGTGTCGGTACAAGGTCGGGGCAAGTCTCCATACCTCCGTTTTGCGCCTGTAAAATGGTCATAAAAATACTGCCTTCCTCTTCACATTGTGAAGATTAAATGAGATAGTAGTGTTTGTAAAACGCACTCGGCACGGCAGTAAGTGCTAAATAAACCTCCCTTACTGCTATTTATATATTTATATATAAAAGATAAACCAGTTCCTCCTCACACACTCGCCCCAACCCTCTTCTGAAAACCCGACTAGCTACCCTTTCCGGGATTCCGTGCTCTGTAACTAACCCGAAACCTGCCCGCCCCTTGCTCCATCACAAGACTTCCCTGGTTAAAATTTGTCTTGCAGTCGAACAAACTCGCCTGCCTGAAATCAAACTCCTGCGAAACCACCACGCTCTGTGACACGCGGCAGCATTCAAGGCCCGAAGTTCAGTCTCGTCTCAGGCCGCCGCGCGCCTCGCGCCGGCGAACCTCGCGCTGCGGCTCACGAAACTCGGCCAGAGTCACATGCCGCTAGCCCCGACTCACCGCACCTCACCGATTCCCCCACCCGCTGGGCTCGCGCGTCAACACGTGATCTCCGGCCCCGCCCACGGCACCAGGGCTGATTTCCCCGGCCCTCCCACTTCGCTCGTGCTGCGCCACGTGACCTCTGTCCCCGCCCCCAGCGCCGCTACGGATCCACGCCCCACTCAACTCGCGCGGCGTCAGGTGACCGCCGGCGCCGCCCCCGGCCTTGTTGCTGGTTCCGCTATTGGGCGGTCCTGCCTTCTCTACGGAGGCGAGCGGTAGAGGAGGAGATGGCTGCCACCTTGCAGCGCATAGAACGGCTGTCCAGTCGGGTGATTCGCGTCCTGGGCTGTAACCCTGGTCCCATGACCCTGCAGGGCACCAACACCTACCTGGTGGGGACCGGCCCCAGGTAAACGTTTCTCCACGCTCGCCATCATACACACCGGCCCGCGGGACGCACGGAGCTGGGGCTGCGGGGACTACTCGCGGCAGGCGGAGAGGCTGTGCGCCCGCAGCCTGCACCGTGGGGTCCAGCCCCAGCCCACCCCGATTCCTCCCGGGGTAGTCAAGTGTCTTAACTTACAAATGGCTAAGGGAAAATGGACACGTCTCCTGTTTTCGAGACCCAATTTACTTTGATTTTGAAAGCCAGAGTTGAAGCTGTTGAGACAGTAGGATCGCGTTTACTTTCCTCACCTGACTTTAACTGGTATTTGGCCCTGAGTTTGACTTCCGTTTGCAAAAGCGAGTGGTTGTATTGAGGCCTTTTTCTTAACTCGATAGCAGAGAGCAGGATTTCCTTGCTTCAAATTGCTCGAGTCTGGGAAAACGCTAGCTAGCTTGGGGAAAGAAGAGCTAACTTTGTTTCTTGTTACTGTTGTGTGGCCTTATTTTAAATATTTTTAACTATTTTAAATTATTCTGCTAATGGAATAACCTGTCTGTATTTCCAAGATTTTTATCTTGTTCAGACGCATTCTGTTTTAGTGGTATCATGCAGAAACGGGGACATGTCATTTGCCTGCTATGCAGAAGACCTGGGTTCGATCCCTGGGTCGGGACGATCCCCTGGAGAAGGAAGTGGCAATCCACTCCAGTACTCTTGCCTGGAAAATCCCATGGATGGAGGAGCCTCGTAGGCTGCAGTCCATGCGGTCACAAAGAGTCGGACACGACTGAGTCACGACACACACACAAGTGCATTGAGCAATCTTTGTGTAGTCCTTACTCTAGATAACAAAAATTGAAAATAAGATACTGTTTACCTTGAGCCCAGAATTTAATTATTCAGTCTGGACGTGTTCATCAGTTAAATTTAGTCACTCAGTCCTGGCCATCTCTTTGTGACCCCATGGACTGCAGCATGCCAGGCTTCCCTGTCCATCACCAACTCCCGGAGCTTGCTCAAACTCATGTCCATCATGCCAGTGATCCCATCCAACCATCTCATCCTCTGTCGTCCCCTTCTCTTCCTGCCTTCAATCTTTCCCAACATCAGGGACTTTTCCAATGAGTCGGTTCTTTGAATCAGGTAGCCAAAGTGTTGGAGTTTCAGCATCAGTCCTTCCAATGCGTATTCAGGGTTGATTTCCTTTAGGATTGACTGGTTTGATTGCCTTGCTGTCTAAGGGACTCTCAAGAGCCTTCTCCAACACCACAGTTGAAAAGCCATAAATTCTTTGGTGCCCAGCTTTCTTTATGGTCCAACTCTCACATCCTTACATGACTACTGGAAGAACCATAGCTTTGACTAGACGGACCTTTGTTGGCCAAGTAATGTTTCTGCTTTTTAATGTGCTGTCTCCTTTGGTCATAGCTTTTCTTCCATGGAGCAAGTGTCTTTTAATTTCATGGCTGCAGCCACCGTCTGCAGTGATGTTGGAGCCCAAAAAAATAAAGTCTCTCACTGTCTCCATTGTTTTCCCATCAATTTGCCATGAACTAGATGTGTTACAATTAGTAAAATATAGTTGATTACTAAACAGTTTAATAAGTATAGTTTATTAGGTTTTCATTTGAAGTATCCACTGTGTTTGCCTTTTTCTGGTAAATCACAATTTTAGAAGCAGCAGCTTGGAGAATATGGAAGTATTGACCATCTAGCAGAAAGTGAAAAGTTGAGTCTGAGATAAATGACGCAGAGTCAGAGCTTTAAGCTGCCTCCAGGGTCTTGGCGAACAGAAAATTAAGCAGAAAAAAACTACCTCATATCTAGCATATAGTCGGGGTTGGCTTAGACTCACTCACCCCAGGAAGTCCATAGGTATACTCTTCGCTTTTCAGTGTATGATCTTAAATGAGTTCTAAAGTCAGTATGTAAGATGAAAATTGCCTATAGTCAAAATTATCCTGGGAAATCTCTTAGGAAAACACAACATAGGAGATCAGTGTACTGTCTCTCAATAAGCTCAACACAGCCTGTTTTTCCTCCAGCGATGAAACAGATGGCTGGCTCTGTTTGAAAATCAGATGAAGAAGTTGGCAGGGGTTGGGGACGATGTTGTATAAAAAATCTATACTGTATCTTTAAACACTAGAATCACACTCAGCATGGCAAAGTGCTGGTGCTGAAAGATGTGAAGAACCTGAAGCTGATTGAGGGGAGAACAGATTCACCGTCTTTGATGTCGCACTTCTTAGACTACTATGAGTGGCCAGTGGAATCACTCACAGATGAGGGCGAGAGAGATGTTGAGGCCATGCAGCTGAGCCATGAGAAGTTAATGTGCAGGTGTTGCTGCTCTGCTATATAAAGTAAATATTAGGTGGCTAGAAATGAATAGTAATTGGGTCCAGGTGATTCTGATAAGTGATATCCATCTATTCTACTAAGATCACTGGTGGCTCCTGTATCACTGAACCCAGTGGCATTTTACCATTCCCATCTTATTTGAACTTCAGTATCTTCTGACGCTGTGGCCCACTCCCTGATTGATTGACACGGCCTTCTGGCTTGCTCTCAACTCTCTAGCTACTCTACTCTCTTAACAGTCTCCTTTATAGAATCATCATCTTTACCAGCTATTTTAAGCTTTTGAGTTCCTCAGGAGACAGTCCTACTCTTCTGTTCTCATTTTTGTATTCTCTACCTAGAGGATTTTGACTACTTCCTGGGCTTCACTTGTTGTATTCATTAATAATTCCCAAATTTATAGCTCCACTGTAGACAAATCCAGGTTTCAGCTTCAGACAGGGGTAGCCAACTGCTTTTTTATATCTCTAATTGGATACCTCAAAGCCACTCGAAACTTCCTGTCTTCTTCCAGTAGTCTGAATCTTAGTAAACAGAACCATCCCCATATATAATCAAGGTAAGTACTTAAGTACCCTCCTTGACCACTTTTCTTTGCTTCCTGCACACACATATCCAAGCCATTATAAAGATCTCAACATTTCCACTGCTGTTAACCTGTCCAAGCCAGTACAACTCTTGCTTTGGCTTTTAAAATAGTCTCTCACTGGCCTCTCTGCATCTACTTTTGTCCCGGTTCAATCCATTGTTTCCCACGTAGCCAAAGTAGTAGTGTATGGTTTTAATTTTTGTGTTTTGGTCACTTACCCTGCAGCAGGCTAGTCTAACATGTTCACTGGCTGATGGCAGGGTTCCAGTGGAATGAGAGGAAGTATGTGAAGACCTAGAGGCGAAGGCTTATAAATGGCAAGACGTCACTTTCATGTCAGTCCATTGACCATAGGAAAACCCAGTGTACATCCGTACTCAAAGGATAAGGAAACAGGCCCTAGTCCTTGGTGGGAGGAACTTCAGAGTGACATTTCAAGAGACATTGCTATATGTAGGTGAAAAGTGAAACTTCGTTTTTTCCTTGCAGTGTGCTTAATAAAATGAGGTCCTGTTTGTAAAGTGTTAATACAACTTAGTTTTGCTTAATTTGTGCTTTAATAAAACACTTCTGGTATTTTTTTTAATTTTTTGAGACATAGTATTTCTTACTGTTTTAAATGGGATTTGATTAAAAGAGAAAAAAGAAAACTTTCATTCGTTCATAGTAGAAAAGGGCCTAAGTGCCTGCAGTGTTTCAGGTAGTGTATTAAGGGAGTCCTATGAACTTAGCAAAAAAAGAACCCCGTAACAATAGCTTTGTTTTCCCTTGGCTTAGAGACTTGTAGACACCATAAATCATCAGATAGCTCCCAAAATGGATATATAATTTAATATTTGATGCGACCAGTGAAGAGTAAGTCTGCTGCTGCTGCTAAGTTGCTTCAGTCATGTCTAACTCTGTGCGACCCCATAGACGGCAGCCCACCAGGCTCCCCAATCCCTGAGATTCTCCAGGGAGGAACACTGGAGTGGGTTGCCATTTCCTTCTCCAGTGCATGAAAGTGAAAAGTGAAAGTGAAGTCGTTCAGTCATGTCCGACTTCTTGCGACCCCATGGACTGCAGCCTACCAGGCTCCTCCATCCATGGGATTTTTCAGGCAAGAGTACTGGAATCGGTTGCCATCGCCTTCTCCAAAGAGTAAGTCTAGGATAGTATAATTAAAGGTTTTAATCCAGTCATCACTGTCAAGAGAAGTTTCCAGTGTGGCAATTCAGTCAACATGAGAAGTCACAGAAGAGATGTCATTAACATATAAACTCAGGTTATTTTTCCAGGGCAAGATGGGTTTTTGCCTTGCAAGACAAGCATAGCTCATTTTTGATGTTTAAAAAAAAGTAGAAAACAAAAAAGAAAAGCATAGCACATAGTAGATGGTTCATAAACAGTTATTGAGGAATTAATGCACAAATGAATAGCTGAAACTTTTCATCAAGACGAATCCTCTCTCCCCCAGCCTCAACTTGGGATGGATTCCTGTGAAACTGCATGAATTTAAGAAGTTGGTGAATTGGTTCTGGAGGAGGAAAATGTCGCTATTATTTCTTCAAAAGAACTTCAGAGAGAAAGACTGTTGCCCCCATGAAACAGTGGTGTTCCCTCACTCAGTCGTGTCTGACTGTTTGTGACCCTGTGGACTACAG